TTAATTCTAGAAAGATATTCTAAACAGTAAATACCTTTTGTTGGGAAGTACCATCCTTAGAGGAATGGCATGGAATGAACGCAGTGGGAAAGTAAATGGCATATCAACTTTTGAAGAGGACAAAAGACACCAACATCTACATAAATAAATCATGTTCTTATTTGGATTTCCATTTTTTCTGAAGTAACACATTTGTGTTAGTCGTGAAGGTTACAGCTCTGTAATTTTCAGAGAAAACAAACCTGAGTTTTAGTAAATAAAATGAATGAGCACCACTGATATGTTCTATTTTGTTACCAGATTTCTCCCCCATCTGGGAGAAGAGCCCCAGTGTTAGTTCTAATAGGTGACTAAATGCAGGGCAAGGGACAAGCTTCATATTTAGTTCTAGGCAACTTCTCTTTGTGAAGAAAAATGATGTTATTGTTGTAGTATATTAGCCTTTTGGAAGTCTTTTGGTTTCTAGAAAAGACCTACCAGAGGGACAGAAACATAGACCAGGAGAAAGGATGTTTGATTTCTTGAAGTTAAAATTGCAATATGGTCAACTAAGTGCTACTGTAAAAGAGCAGGAACATGTAAAATAAATGTAGTTTCCTTCAATATTATGTTCACGTGTAACATGGTCTGCCGAAGAGTTGTGAAGGGCAGCATTTATTTATTGAGTTCTTCATTCAGGGAGTATTTACTGAGCACCAGCTCTATGCCCTGGGTTGTTCTATGTACTAGAGGTGCAGTGATAAACAAAACACACAATGTCTCTGCCGTCAAGCAGCTTCCGTTCTCTAGTGGACTAAGGTATGGCTGGTCTTCATGCTTGCAGATGGTGCCTGTGAAAATGACCAGCATCTCTCTATATGCATAAGAAAGTTGCGTTATCCAAAGTGGAAGTGCAGAGGCAGGCTTGGCTTGGCAAACTTTACAGTGGAAGCCAGACCCCTCGGGCACACTCTCGGACCTGAATGCCTTTTGCAGATATATTGAGGCCTGACATGTCAGGTGAGACCAGCAGCCTTCTTTTTTCTATTTGCAAACGAACTATGTAATTTATTTTCCAAATTAGGAACCTTGGAAAATGCAAGGAGGCCCTAGAAATAACTATGCAGAGATGACAAGCAACCAGGCAGCTCTGTGCCTTACTTCCACACCGGCCTTCTCCCGGTCCCTTATTCCTATCGGCTCACTCTGCTGATCGGCAGCCGCTCTGCTGGGATGGTCTGAGGCTTTAAACAACCGTCCTGCACCAACCAGAAAGACCCGTGAGCTTCAGAAAGAGCTATTTGACCCCAGGGATAGCAAGGCGTTCTAATTCTGACTTCCCCAGTTGGTAGAACTAGACACAACTGTCAGCACGGAAATCTTGATATTTTGACAGCCTCTTCCCCAGTTCCGCAAGGAAGGAGATATTCTCTCCAAAAAAAAGACCAATGTTTCTTGCCTTATCGGCTTCAACAAAAGTAAGCTAAAGGACATATTTGAATTTTTGGTCCTTTGGGGACTAGAAGTGAAGAGTGAATTGTGGAAGCACTCCCACAGCTCCCCTGCTGGGCGACAGAGCGCATGGCAAAGCGCCCTGGGCTGCCACCCCAGATCAGTGGGGCAAGATGATTTGACTTATAAAGGCCCTTCAATTTCTAATCTTTATGATGTAATATGTAATGCTTCATAAACATGACACTTTTACTAGCTCAGGTAATAAAACATGTAATCATTTTGCCTGACAAATGTTGGTGCAGGGGGTTAAAGGCCCTGGAGGTGTGTCGTTATTTATTATTATTTACCCTTGATTGCACTCCAATAGTATTGCTATTGAATAAGACACGGGTGCTTTAAGAAATATCTGTATGTGATTTAAAATTCTTACATACTTAAGTGAAAATCTGGAGGCAGGGCCGGGGTGGGGGAGATTTAAGGAGACACTTGTCTTATCTGGGGGGTAACCACTCAGTAATTACCAAGTTTATTTCATTTGATGTATTAACTTACATTCCCATTTAGCCCCTTATTTAGGCCTTTTTCTGGCCATTTACTCCCAGGAAATCTATGCTCCTTTCTGCTAGACTTCAGATCATTCCTAAAATGTCCTGAAAGACCATGTCTATCTTTGTCTCTGTTGAAGTCCCAATACCTTTCCCAGCTCATGACACAGTGATTAGCTGTTGAATAAAGCAGTAAATTTTTTAGTAATTTATGTGGGTTGATAACATGTGGGGTGTTAGCAACATTGAAACACAGATGCCAAAATATGATCTATGCTCTTGGGAATGATTTGAGCACACCATTTTCCTATAGGCATCCATAATTTCAGTTAACATATTTTCTTCTATACTTTAGACATTAAGCATCTCTGATTTTAATTGAGCTTTATCTAGCAAATATTCCTAAAATATAAACCCTGACCTATCATTTTAGTTTCTTATGAATTGAAGGACTTCCTTCAAGAGTCCCCTATTAAAATGCAAATGAACTCTTGACTGCTAATAATTCCCAAGGCTGAGATTCACTCCCAAGGGAGCCTGAGATGGGGTGTGGGGGTGCTGCCTGCGCTGTGTGCCTCTCCCCCACAACGGCCTGCAGTAATATTTTTACTTAGGTTCCAAAACACTTGAAAACCTGTAGCTTTGTGGAGAAAGACTCCATGTTAATCAATAAATAACATTCAAGATTACGGAACTTGCAAAATAGCAACCGTAGGCACTGTTTTTTCTTTTATGAAGCCACAGCTGTTTTGGGGGATAACAACCATGGATCAAGGGAAAGGGGAGGGTCTCCCTCTTATTTCAAATTAAGACAATCATCATCCAGTTTTAGAAAAATTCTAAGTGGCAGTATCAGGGCTGTTTTGGAGTTTTGTGTTATTAGGTTTTCTTTATGTTCAACTTTCTTGAAAACCTGATTTCAGTCGGGAAGATGAGGTTTTGATAGATGAGGGGAGGACTTGTTTTTGCCTTTGAGAAATGTGTTCACTCCTCGGGCACTCAAGATTCTCAGGGCAGCGCTGCGGGTTTGGGAAAAGCTGGGAGCTGGCAGTTACGTTTCCGGTGGTGAAGGACAGAAGGGTGCACCTGGGAACAGCGAAGTCTCCTGTCTGCTTTTGGGAACCTGTAGCTGCTTATCCATGATTCAGTTGCTTTACTTAATCAGGAAAGTGCTGCTGGGGGTGGGGGTGAGGGGGGGTGAGACTCTCCCCGACCCCACGGTGAATGCTCTGCAAAGCCCAACTATTTTAAATATGTACTTTTGATTCAATGGAAGGGTTAAAATGAAAACGAAACGTTTCACTGGCTACCAAGGGGTTGCAAAACACCGAGTGGAAGAAAGCTTTGGGAAGAGCTTAGGAGGTTTTTGGTGGCAGGGCGAACGTACCAAGGGTAAGGTGATACACAGCATTGAAACTATGAGTCACCCTTTCTACATGAATCACTTTAGCTACTTAACATTATGAAATCTTGAGCTTGTTAGAGACGGACCGGAAGACCGAAGCCTTGTTACCCCGACAGCGTTTCCCCTGCCATCTAGACGTCTCGGTGCCTTCAGCCTGCCTCCGCCCCATTTCGCAAGCCCACGCCTTGTTCTTCCATCCAGACGTAATGCATCCAAAACATGTCACCCACTTAGGATGTAAGGAATGTCAGCCCTGAGCTCAGCACTTTCTGATGACAGATTCTTAGCAACCCCCCCTGAAAAAAAAAAGGTTTCTTCTGGGGGTTGCTTGAAATATATAGTAAATATATATTTTTACAACGGCATACCAGAAGTTCAGAAATAAATGGAGTAACTGAGCCAGAGAGGATTTTGATTTCTGCCTCTTTCTCCACATGGTGAGCTGCATTGAGGCTGAATTTATTCGTTCATTTATCCCCAGCACTTGGCAAAGCACCACATAAAAAGCCAATACTGAAAAATGTTTGAATAAATGAATGGATATGAAATATGCACAAATGAGAATTAATAAGAATGGCTGAGACTAGGAGAGGAACAGATGACAGGCAAAGGAATCAGGAGGTTGGCGGCCCTTTACCAACAGTCCTTGTCTGTCAGCTGCCATAAGCAGGAAGGGTTTAGTCTTCTGCTCTTCCTCCTCCTTCTATTTATCCTTCTAGAAAAAAATAAAGAATGTATTAGTTTCACTCTTGCATTTTTTTAATCTAATTATTTTTTAATTGAAGTATAGTTGATATGCAATATTATATTGGTTGTAAGTATACAATACAGTAGTTCCTCAGTTCCCCACATTATTAAACCCTCCACTCATGCGGTTACTGTCTGTCAGCCCAGAAAGATGCTACAGAACCACTCACTGTATTCGCCGTGCTCCACTTAGCTTCCCTCTAGCTTTTGCCAATTGTCTGCTGCCTGTAGGTTCCGACTCCTAGTCCAGAAGGAAGCATATTCTCCTATTTTTATTTCTGGGTTTTGCTGCCGAAGGACTGTCCACCTCACCACACCTCACCCAGACTCTTTATAGTAACCTTGTGGCAGCCCTGTTCCTGGTTGTGTCTAACCCTGAATAATCCACATGCGAAGTGGCACATTTTAAGTAGTCTTCATTATTCACAGGTAAGACCATCATCATAATCAAGAGAATCAGTATATCCATCACCCCCAAACTGCTTCTTGTCTCCAGGTGCATTCTCTTCAGGGTCCTGGACCATTTCTGGAAGAAATGAGGTGAAGGAGTGAACTCAGTTTTTTAAGTTAGTCTGTGTCCCATTCTATTCCTGCAGTGTTACTATAACTCATAAAAAGAATTTTATTTTTACAGCTTAAGATAATTTTGTGACTTCTATACAACCCTCCTGAGGATTGCTTTGGTTGTTTCAGCAGAGACAGCTAGTTGTCCTCAAAAATCTACGCCTCCACCTCTCCACTGGGTTTTAGTGGGGCAGACACATGTCCTGTCAACTAAGAACCAGATTGCCCAGTTTCCCGTGGTGTTGGGTGTGCCCAGGTTCCATGCAGTGGAATGTAAGCAGAAGTGACAGGTGCAGCTGTGAGCTCCCGATTAGGGAAGGAAGGTGTACGAGCACCTTCTTTTTAGCCTTCTGGTCGGCTGGAATGAACAGACCAGGAGAGAGAAACTGCAAGTGGAAAGTGGGTTCGCAAACAAAGGGGCCAAACCAGCCCCAGACTACGTTATGTGGGGGGAGAAGAGTTTCTATTTTTCTTTAAGACACTGTCACTGGGTCTTTGCGGTTACTGCCTCCAAACCTGTATTATAATTAGCCTGCTTCTATTTTACAAATAGGGAAAACTTGGACACAGAATGGATAAGGGAACAAAACTGTGCTTTCAGCCATCTTATTACAATAATTATTTTAAAATAAGCTCAAGGATAAAAAGTGGGCTACTTGAAATCATTTCCAGTGAGTATCATGGAATCTCAGACACTTTTTCAAGTAATGTTTTAGCAAGATTGGCAATCTGAAACATTTACGTAGCTGCTACTTTTCAGACTTAATTGTAGTTCCGTGAAAGTCTGTTCTCAAGAATTGTCCTTTGGTCAAATACTTGGCTAGCTATACTAGTCTCATTTATTATATCCAGAATATTAATATTCTTCTTATTTCTCTAGGCCATTGCTGTTTTACCTTTATTAGAGTGATAGTTAGAAACTTTTCTAAAATGGTAAGACTTTGTTTGCTACCATCAAATAAATAGCCCTGGCATGATGCTTTTTCAGCGCTCTGCCATGAAGGCCTGAGTGTAAAACATGTCATCATTTTATACTCTTTACATGCTGAAAGTCTAATTTGACATTATCTCAGTGCCACAGGTGTACTGATTTTCCTTGCTACCCTCACACCCCTCGACGTTTGGTGCTCCTTAATTATAATGGTAGATGTTATGTTGGGAAGGTAGTTCTGAAAGGCCATACCATAACAGACATTTACTGCAGCTGAATTGAAATATCAGGCTCAGCAGATGTACAGGTTGCCTAGCAACAGATACTGCAAGCTCCAGTGACTGCTCCTGCCCACTGAGATTGACAGGGGAGCCATCATGGGCTTCCTGTTAGCGATGCTGACAGTGAGATCAAACCCCCAAAGGGGGAGGGTAATTAAATATTAACATTAAAGAGAGAATATATATACAGATATCTTGAAATATATATAATACACTGTAAATAATATAGTTAGAAACTTTTCTTTGAGAAATCCCTATAATAACTGAAAGAAAGAAAACCTAGAGAACGGAGAAAGTAGAAAATTAGAGTTTTCAAAATCAAGATAGAAAATGGACCTACCACAGGTTTTGGCTTTCCATTTTATATTGAAGTGCCGTTTATTTTGGCTGAGAGATATGTCCGATGCATGCATGACTAGGCATGTCCAAGAACATTTGTCTTAGACTACGATAACCATGAAATGACTTTGGAGCGTCTGAGCGGGTGGAGCTACATGGCTTCCGTATGCTGTTTATATGCAATCCTACTCATGTGTTGTGCTCAGATTGCTTAGCAGGACTAGAAGTCTGGTTTAGGAGTGCAAGTTTTCATCCACTGGGAATGAGGTTTTATTTTTTGTTATGATCCAATTAATGAGCTTCTATGAAGTTTTCCTTTTCTCTACTATTTTGCAGACAACATTTTCTGAAGTTTGTGAAATATGGAAACATGGAGCACCATTCAAAATGTATCTCTTTAAAATAAATTCAGGGTCCTATTGTGCATGACAGTCTTTCTGTGAAATGTTCAAACCAGGAATGGAAACCTTTTGTTTTAAGGGGAAAGAAAGAATTCATTTTTAGATCCCTCATAGTTGAGAGGCAAATCATTAATTATAACCTCTGTCCATCTCAAATAAAATTAAATTCATATTTTGCTATAAATTTCACCTAGGAGTTAATATTTTTATCCTCATGGCTGTAGAGCAGCACATGGTCCAGCCAACATTTCTTAAAAATACATATACCTTCTCACTCAATAACTTCACTAGTAGGAATTTATCTTTGAATAGGCTCTCAATATATGGAAATGTATAGATTCCAGGACTCTTCATACAACATAGATTATAAGATCAAAAACTTGGTACCTTCCTTGTCCATTCATAGCATATGACTGAGATAAATTATTGGATGGCCATAAAATGGACTGCTAGGGATCCATTATAAATAATGATTTGAACGTACATTTTTGTAGGAAATATATTGAAGATACATTGTTAAGTAGACAAAATTTAAAGAAGGTAATATAAAGAAAATCCAGAATACATAAATATTTATATGTGGAAATAAGCTTTCATAGCAGTTCTTCTCTGGGAGAAAATGTTTCGGATACACTGGGAGTGAGGGGGCGCATTTTGCTGTGAGCCATAAACTCTTTCGCCTTTTTTTAAGAAATCATAAATGTGTATTACTCATAATAAAAAATGCTCAAAGGCATATTGCTTAGTACCAATACTATGAAACATTTAATTTCTGCTTTTGCAGATCTATGCAAACTGAAAAAAAAAATGTCCAATCATTTTCGCACAGCGTCTCTAGGATCATCTTGTCTTCAGTAATCCTGTTAGGGAAAAGATTATAGATGGTAGTCCCTCGGTCTTCCTTGGGTCTTACATGTGTTTCTAGCATCTTAAGTAAATTAAGTCATGAACTTTCTGAATTACAGGCAATTATCTTTTGAAGTCTTGAGAAGAAATTGGGGATTAGGAAGGAGAAAATGTAATACTGATCTCTTTCTGTCTGTCTTCGGCGCCCCAAAGCCAATAATATAATTATCTTCTTTTAAGTCTGCTTCATTCTCTAGTAAAAAGAAGCAAATACGAATGTGGTGGAGCTGGAGGCCTTGTATTGCCTCTTACACAGAGAGTATTGATGCAAGAATCTGTAGAATAAATATCCTATCTGGGAGAAAAGTGTGTGTCTGACCTGGTGTCCTTCATCTGACCATTCCCATGGGAGCAGAGCATTACATGCTTATTAGAGAAAAGAGATGACGGACTTCATTGCTGGGGAGCTGATGGTTGAAGAGAAGAGACTGACTTTATGTTGATTTCCTAACCTTGGTGTAAAATGAGATGGTGCAAATACAATTAGTTTGGGTTTTTAATTACAGCGAGAGGATTTGGCTTGTAGCTACCAAAAGTTTTCTGAAAGGAAGGTTAAAATCTGGAGGCCCCTGCAGTAAATATGGTAGAAATATGTGAAAGAGCTGAAGGGGAAACACGTGAGCTACTTCAGAACTTGCGCAGTAACAGGGCTCAACAAGCAGGTCACCTTTGAGAGATGGATTCAATACAGACTTTTGTTTTCCTGTCCGAATGATCAGTTTGGGTTTGGTTTGGTTTTTAGCTTTGGCCATCCCAGATTTGGTATTTCCAGATATCCTCACCCGGTGGCATCATACCCTCTTTCCACATTGCTTACCCAAAGTGACTTTGAATGTCTCAAGCCAGGAAGCTTGCTGAGCTCAGAGCCCAGTGAGGCTTCGTTCCCCTGGGTGTGTCTTTTCCTCTCTTCTCTCACCATGTGGCTGAGCGGTACAGCTCATCGTAACCACATCATTAGGAGATGGAAGAAGATATATTGTTGCTTCATTTCTGTGCTTAATATTAAGAAGTTGAACTTTAAAATCGTAGTGATCTAAAGCACTTTGGCTGAGATCAGATTAGATCTCAGAGGCTGGGTTTACAATTGCTGTTTTAAGCCCTCCCGTCACTCTGAAAACAGAGGTTTTGAAGATAAGACAGGTTTGGGCTAAGGCCTTGACCTTTAACCGACTGATGAACCTGTGAGTTTCCTCAGGTCCCACATCGTTAATACGAGGACTCTAATGGCAACACTGTTAGACTGCTTTGGGAATTACAGGTGACACCACTTGGTAATGTGTCTCAGCGTCATCACTGATAAACATCAAGCAACCGTGTTTTCTCCTCCTCCCTTGAGGAAACATATTTACTTACTTATTTTCTGAAAGGAAGAAAAGCAGGCTAGGCAAGGCTATTTTGTATTGTCTTGACTATTTGGGAAATATTGGTGTTGGTTACTGTACGGTGCCTGTAATTGGCGATGGGGTTGACCCCCTATGACCAGTTCTCCAAGTAGCCAGTTTTGTGCCTTCTTCGGTCCGGGCTCCTGGCTGCCGCTTCTCCGTGCATGTACCCATCCCCTTCTTTGTCTTCTGTGCTTTGGTTCCAATGATTCTCCTTCCTGAAATGACTAGCTCCTTTTTTAAAAAATCAATCCATCAAATCTATTCACTTTTAAAGGTCAAGGTCAGGTTCCATTTCTTCCATGAAGTTTTCTGGAACTTTCTACGACCTACATCCACCTCTCCATTTTTCGTGCTTCTGTAGAGGCCCAGAGCAGACCTGAGCTTCACCTCCTCATCCACGTTCATTTCCCTCTGCTGGAGTTTTTTGGCATAATGTTCTCGCATGAGCCACCCAGAAACCACCAGCCACCTTTGTTATAAGTCTGCGTCTTTGCTCCTTCCATCTAGGCGATCTGAAGGACTCGTTCGAGGTTCCCCTGACAAGTCCCCTGGGGGGACGTTTTCCCCTCTGCCAGCGAAGCCCTCCCGTGTTCCTGCTGTCCCGTGACACGTTCAGATCTCTGCTAGGCACTTGCCTCATTATAATGTGACACTTCATCTGACTACACATCCGTCTCTCAGACTCTGACGTAAGTCTCTCAGGGGCAGGAACTGTGTCTTATTCTTTTTATCTCCAGGCTTGGAACTTAGAAGGTGCTGCATGAGAACAGAATACACAGATTTGTCAGGATTCTCCAATTGGTTATGCAGTCAACCCAACCCCTGAATGATCCCAGGTCCCAGACGTCATGCCCACCATAATAGCTACCATGGGATGGCCTATGGTACATGTCCAGCAAATACTGGTTGGTGTGCCACCAATCACTGTCATCTAGGCCTGGGTGCATGTACAAAGTGTGTGCTCATCTCCATTCGAAGTGCACAGGACAGAAGTCTCTAGGGGGACCTTTTGGCTTTGATTACATATCCCTTAGGCCTTGACTCACAGGATCTAGAAGCATTGACAGGCTGGGCTCATCATTTCTCTGCGATCACATCCTGAATATGATGGAGTGTAAGCTAACGAACCAAGACCCTGGAAACCCTTCCTCCCCCC